CATATAGACATCTTTACAATTATTATCTAAACAGTCAACACAGCTTTGTGTTGTTTTGTCATAATGTGTATTTCCACAGGTACTTCCATAAATTATTTTAGTTGTGTTTTGTGTGTGGATTGCTGCTTTAAACTGTACATTTCCAAGTGCCAAATTATTTTCTGAAATAAAAAGTACTGTTTTAGTCAACAAAGTCGTTTGAAAAGATAAAACTTCGTTTGTTGATATTCCTAATACAAAATTGTCAGTATAATATAATGAAATTTGTTCATTTCCAATTGTGACACTTTCACTTGAATACTCATCTTCACTTTTGAAAGTATTTGTTTCTGTTTTATCAAAGTAGGCTCAATTAAAAGTGATGTGACATTGTTGAGAGGTGTAATATACCAATCTTCTATACTTTCACAAGGACAATATGGTTCGACAAATTCCATCAAAGTACCGTTTACATTGGACATATGGGAGAATGATTTTTCGCCTTCTTATTTTTCGCCTTTTTATTTTTTGCCTTATTTTTTTTCAATAAAAATTCAACAAAATGTAAAATGTATTGAAATATAAAAATATAGAAAAATAATTTATATTTAACACAAATAAATTTTTTGATATATAATTGTTAAATTAAACAAATAATATTATTAAACATGTGTATTAATCATACATTATAAATAATAACAAGTTTTATTATTTTTTTAATATAATTTTTATGTAACACATTAGGTTTAAAACTTATAACATAGTTTATATTAAAGTAGATCAATATTATTTATCAATTAAAAGATAAACATAAAAATCAATGGATATCAAAACCCCAGTTGTTCCACCAAATTTTGAAATGATTGACTCAAACAAAGGGAAAAACAACCATACTTAGATGGATATAAGTATAGATCAGTAGATAAAGAAAAAATCATCTTTAAATGTGATTATGAAAAATGCAAAAAAGAATTAAACTGCTTTTCGATAATTCTGGAAATCCTATTGGATATGAGGATATTGGTAAATTTAAAGGATTACCACATGACCACGATTCTACTGCATATTTCGATAAAAAATGTGTTTTAAATTTGAAAAGTGAATCAACAAAAAAGTTCCAAATTAAAAACTACAAAAGAAATTGTAGCTGAAGCTTTTATTACTGGGTCTTCCAAAAGATTATCGGCATGTGAACATATTGTATATACAACAAAATATAGTTCAGATAATCCCAAAACTATTTCTGAAATTAGATTTACTAGAAAAGAACAAGAAATGTTATTATACAGAGATGATAAAATGCTTATTTTTGGTAAAATAGAATATTTTGAATTTATTAAACAATGCAGTGTCATTTTGATGGATGGCACATTCAAGTCGTGCCCAAGTTTGTTACATATTTGTAAAAAAGTAACAACTATTTGTTTTATAGTTTTAATTTTAATAAATAAACTATATTTAATTATAAACATTTTTTTATTAATAATATATAAAATTATTTATTGTTCAAATTATAAAAATAATTTAATTGTTAAAATATATATATATAATAAATAAAGTTTTTTGTAAAATATACAATAACATTAAATCAAAATTTGTGTTTTTATTAAATTTCAGAACTTTTTCAGCAATTATATACGATCCATGGACTTAAAAAATAACGAGTCTTTTCCCATATTTTATTGTTGCCTAACATCCAAGTCAAAGAATGAGTACCAAATCCTGTTTCAAAAAATAGAGACAATATGCAACTATCCATTATTTCACAAAAATGTAGTTATAATGGGTGATTTTGAAATTGTGTTTTTTAAGGATATTTTCGGCGACGAAGTGATAGTGAAGTGTTGTCATTTCCATTTGTGTCAATCTATTTATCGAAGAGTAATAACACTCGGACTTTCAAATCGCTTTAAAAATGGCGACATATTTAAAACAATAGTTAAAATGTTGATGACGCTTGCTTATCT